ATCCTGGATCCATATTTATTTTTGATTCTGTTCATGGCGGACAATCCGGCTTCACAGCAGCAGGTTGAGCCAAACATACTCTAATTCTGCGTTCACACCGGATGCAGCAAGAGCAGCAAAATCGCGTCTGCTGCTTCCTTTTTGCTGCTTGTAGCAGTTTAGTTCTGACGCGCGGCTGAAAGCAGCTTTGCTGCTCTGGCTGCGCGGTGAAAAAGTGGGTCTGACGCGCGTTGGGCGGAGCTACTCTATCCTTTCTTTGCCTTGCAGCTATATTTGCTGTGATCAGTGGGAATAAAGTAGTTTTAATATGATTTTAAGTGGTAAAATCCAACTGAAAACTTAATCACTGCAGTAAGTTCATCCAGATTACCTTCCTGCCGTCGAATATTATTTCTGTCGGAGCCGCTCAGAGCCCCAGATACCAGCGGTGCACTGTCGGTAGGAATCCCATTCAACAGCAGCCTATGGCCCAGTCGCCTCCTCGCGGCTTGCCGCGGCGGCTGGAAGGCGGTTCATGTACATAATCCAAACTGCAGGCACCAGGATAATAAAACCTAACACACTTTGTCGGCAGGTTTCAGCATTTTAAGTTAATTTAGACATTAATAAACTGTTTCAAAGGACTGATCATAGCGCTCTGATCATCAGCGATGTGTCTGTCTCCCTGTCAGCTCCCAGATCAGCTTCTCTGATTAGTTGATGGCGCATGAAGCAGCAAGAGTTCAATTTTTCCATCTCGAGCAGCAGCGCGTTGCGCGCGTCAGATGCTTAAACGCTCCAGACGCGCTGCTTCATCTGCTCAGACGCGCTGCACCTGCTGCTCAAAACGCTTTGTGGGACATTTTGCTGCGCCTTGACGCGGGTCAACCATTGACTTTGCATGTAAACTGGCTGCTTCTTCTACGCCTGCTGCGTCCAGTGTGAACGCAGCATAAATGTTCAAGCTCCGCTCCGGTCCGGCCAGGTCAAAATCTGCTATTGCAATTGCACCAAACAGGAAAAAAAACGGCGAGAACATCCGATTTGTCAAATTAAAATATAGTGACAACAGATTGGTAACTACAAATTAGAGCATCATTCTTATATATTTCAATAAACTAACACCGTTTATTTAAAAGATTGGATGCAAACTATTGGTTCTTCAACAGACCAGGAAGCAGATTTCTCATCTCCATCAGAAACCGCACATATGCTGGATGCTGATGAGGATTATTTAATATATATTATTATTATTATTATTATTTAAATTATATTAAATTAGGCATTCATTTCTGCATGTTTTGCTCCTGAATTTATTGATAATATCGCGCATGCTCTCCTCGAGCTCCGATAAGTCGGAGCGCAGCAATACGGGAGGAACAGCGGAGGCTGCAGGCTTTGCTTTGCAGGAGCGCTGCGGAGCGGAGACGGAGGATGTGGGATTTCAGGGCAACAGAAGAAGCAGAGCAAGTGACTTTTAGACACTGTCCTCAGACAACATGCGGTAATCTATATATGTTTTAAATCAGGTTGGGTCAGGATTAGCCAGCAGGTGGATCTGGATCCGGACCGCGGTCTGCTAATCTGTGACCTCTGCCTTAAATATGGAAGTTGGGATAAACAACCATCTTTCCCATGTGGACCCTTGTGTGTCCTTCAATTCCTGTGTGTGTGTGTGTGTGTGTGTGTGTGTGTGTGTGTGTGTGTGTGTGTGTGTGTGTGTGTGTGTGTGTGTGTGTGTGTGTGTGTGTGTGTGAATCTATGTGAGTGGATCTATGTGAAACTGAAACATTTTCACTTGACAGACAACGATTTTTATCTTATATGCAAATAATATGTAATTATTATTTTTTTTTTTTACAATTTTGGTAGAATTACTACTCTAAGCTAAAGCCATGTTTTAGAATCTTAACACTCCAGTTAACGATTAATCATTTGCTAAATTAGTTGACGGTTATTTCAATAATCGATTAATTCATCCGTTTATTCCAATTAATTGTTTCAGCCCCTCCTCATTTGCATAATTAGGCAGAAATACATACAGAAATGTAAATACGACAGGCAGAAATAAATACAGAAATGTAATAGATATGGCAGAAATAAATAGATATGAAGAAATAAATATGGTAAAAAAAATACAAAGGAAGAATAAACCAGACAAAAATATCATGACATGAACAAAATAAATACTTAAGTAGCAGGGGCGGATCTAGAAAAATATTTATGGGGTGGCAAGAGGGGGGCAGGAATTTTTTAGGGGTGGCAACATATGGCATTTGTTTACACTGAATTTATTCACAGTTATCACAGTTTGGTGAGAATAGTATGTAGAGTAAGTGTTTCATGTGAAACAGTTCATATTAGAAATACATCGTACAATGAGATCTCACTTAATAGGAGATAGAAGAATGATAACACTACTTCTAGAGGGGCATTATCACAGGAAAGGTATTAAGGTAAGACACAGGTGCTGAGTCGCAGATGTGACAGATTGACTGTCAGAGAGGCAGCTTTGCAGCATTTGCACAAGAAGAAACTATAGAAAGAAAAAGTTCCCCATCAGAGATCTATGGACTGAGCTGTACTAAAGTCAGCATAACTACACAGTAGAAATAAATGGGTCAAGGCACCCGCACAAGGTACTGGACATCTATGTAATGTTTACTCTGAACACACATTTACCCCATTTGTTTCTCAGTAACTTGACATACAGCAGTTAAGGCAACATGAAAGGGACATTTCATGCATGTAGATCTGCTGTAGATAGAGCTGCATATGGAGGACCAACTCTGCCATATTTAAAAATAAATACAGAAATAAATAAATGCTCAATAAATAAATAAACATACAATTAATTGCCACCAAAAGTACAACCAACAAATAAATGTAATTAGAAATTATATTATAATGGCAGGCAGAAATGTTAAAAGGGCAGGCAGAAAGAAATAGCGGCGAAGAAATAACTAGGGTAAAAAAATATCAAGGAAGAATAAAACAGACAAAAATATGATAACATGCACATAAATAAATACTTAAAAATATAAGTAATTAAAAAATGAAGTTGAAGATAATAAATGACAAAAAAAAAAAATAAGGTAAATTTTAAAAAGGCAAAGAAATAAAGAAGCCAATTAAAAGTTATTAAGAGTTATATACCTTTATGACTAGCTGTATAATTTAATTTCTACTTACATTTATTTGTTGTTTGTATTTTTGGTGGCAATTAATTGTATGCTTATTTATTAAGCATTTATTTATTTATGTATTTATTTTTAATATGGCAGAGTTGGTCCTCCATACTGCTGTATCAACAAATCAACAAAAAGGCGGGTTCTGTATGTTACATCAAAATCTCCACAAATCTGAAAAGAAGCAACATAAAAATACATTTTGCTTGTGAGTAGGTTCATACAGGTCATTTCTGGATAGTTTCATATTATATATACAAAAAAAGAAACAACAACACTGCTTCATATTAAGCAGGATTTACACCAGTATCACATTTTTAACTTTTAACACTTTTGGTTTTATTAAAGGAAATATCAGATTTTCTCAGGTGCCAAAACAAAATGTAACATCTCTGTAAAGGCTCACCAGAGAGCATAACATAAAGTTACCTTGACTATAACAGCTGAATGCAGTGATTTCCATGTTGCTCAGCAAAACGCTTCACAACTTTATTTAGATCCAATGCCTTTGTGCGTTTTGATTTGAGTGCAACCAAACTATATAGTCTCTTTTCTGTCATAGTTGACCGCAAATATTTCTTTATGAGCCTGAGACGTCAGGCCTAACTAACATCATAGATAGAGAAATAACGTTCTGCAACCTGATTTTTATCATCTGTAAATCAGCATTGCAGCTATGCTAGCAACATTGTACTTTCATTATGATTTAATTTCTCGATAGATAGTTAATCAGTTTTTACCTGTTTCATCCCGTGTCTCCTCTCCCCATCACCCCTGGCTCCCTCGCTTTGCCCCGCTCGGTTTTCAAAACAAATCAGTCTCAGTCACTCTCGCGTCATCTCGTGCTGCATCCACTGCAGTCCGACATTGGAAATTAGCGGTCGCAATTCTCAAATGATCCATAATTTATAAGCCTCGCCATCCCTACCGCCAACTGGGGTGGCAGCTGGGGTGGCAAGGCTGTCATTTGGGGTGGCAGTTGCCACCCCAGTAGATCCGCCTATGTTAAGTACATACTTCTTCTAGATACTTGTGAGAAACTCTCAGAGTATATTTTGAAGTGAATAAACTTATTCTGTTAGTTTGCAAAAAGATTAGCTTTGGAAATGATCCATCCACATGATTAAACCTAAAATAACAAATAAACTGTAGTATGTTTAAAAAAGCATGGCAAAACATTCACAAATATTAATAATTATTTTTTAGATTCAATCTATTTTCCAACCCAAACGTTGCATTTATTTAGGGTGTGTTATTATGATGTGTTATTTCAGTGTTACCATTGCTACGTGGATGTTCATTCAGTTGTTTAATTTTGTAGAAACAAATCCGATCACAGACATGAAACAAAGTTAAAGTCATTTCAAATGGCAACGGTCTGGCTTTAAGAAACACTAAAAGACTAAAACATTTAGTAGTCAGTAGGTCATTTATGGAATCACCCAATTCAGAGGAAAATTTAAATTCTACAAATTTAAACAATATTTATATATGTACATACATATATAACACAATTTAGAGAAGCTAATTAACCTAACTTCTTTTTTGGACTTTGGGAAAAAGCCGGAGCACCCGGAGAGAACCCACAAATGATAAAAATATAAAGAATATATATAGATATATATCTATACATATCTATCAATCGATCGATAGATATGTATAGATACGCGGTTTTTGTATAGATATAGGGTTTTTATCCAACTCACTCTGCATCTTAGCCAGGTAGTCCTCCACCCTGCACTCTGTCACAGGACTGAGGGGAAAACCAAAGCTCCTGTTGAGGGCCCGAAGGTGGCCCCGGGGGCCGCTGGGGAAAGACCCACGGGGCTCCCGTTAGCAAGGACGGACCTGCTGCACTGAGCAGCTTGGAGCTTCTGAGAGCCGACTGTTGGTCCTGTCCAGTTTAGCAGCGAGGGACTTCCGCTGGCGCATCTCTTCATTGTAGAGCTGTCGGTAGCGCTCTAGTTCAGACTCTCTTTGGTTCAGACTCTCCAGCTGACCGCTGCGGGCCCGGCCCAGCTCCGCCTCCAGCTTCTGGATCCTCTGCTCCAGCTGGGTGCGCAGGTTGGCCTCATTGGCAGCTTTAAGCTGGTCTAGTTGTTCTTGAGAAGCTGCCTGGGACTGGAGGAACAGGTTGACTTGCTCCAGTTTCTCTTTAAGGTCCTGCTGGGCTTTCTCCTCTATCTCACGGCGGTACTGCTCCCTCTGGATATGATTTGCCTCCAGTTGGCGCCTCAGCTCCAACACCTCCTCCTCCAGCAGCCTCTTGCTTCTCTCCTGCTCATCGTGACTACGGACCAATCCTTTTAGGGACGCCACCTGATCCTTAAGCTCCTCGTTGATCTTCTCTAGCTGGTTACGAAGAGACGTTTCCTTCTCCAGCTGTCCCTGCAGATTATCCACCTTTTCCTTCATCCATCCGAAGGTGTACAATTCTTTTTGAAGCTCAATGTTCCTCTTCATCTCCAGATCGAGGCGAGTGTCGGCGGCCTTCTTCTGCTCAGCCATTTTCTCCGCTTTCTTCTTTTCCATCTCCATCTGAGAGGTGAGCTCTCCTTTTTCTTTTTCCAACTCGGCCAGACGCAGGCTTAACTTAGAGCGGCTCTTCAGCTCCAGATCGAGGCGAGTGTCGGCAGCTTCCAGTCGGGCGTTCTCGATCTCCAGCCGTTGCACGGCGCCCTCCAGCTGTTTGACGGTCAGCTCGGCAGCAGCGGCGGCAGACAGCGCCTCCTGGAGTTTCTGAGCTGCACTGCTTAGTTCCTTCTCCCTGTCGCCCAGACTGCTCTTCAGGCTGTTGATCCGTCGCTTTGCCTGAACGTACTGATCCTCGCTTTCATCAAGCTTTACTCTGAGTCGGTCGTTGTCTTTGAGGAGCCGCGCTTTCTCCTCCTCCAGTTGATTGCAATAGCGTGTGTTGACCTCCAGGGAGGCTTCGCTCATTGACAGCTTCTTCAGAGAGTCGGCTAGCTCCTGTTGTAGCTGCCTCATGCTGGTCTCTCGTTCATTTTTCTCTTCCTCTAACTTATAAATCTGATTACGAAGATCTGCAGCCTTGACAGCCAACTCCTTGTTTCTGTCCTCCACCATCTGAACCCTCCCCTCGCCATCAGAGCGCAGCTTGGACAGGATGTCTGTGAAGCGCTCCTGGGCGTCTGTGACGGCACGCTCCTTTGCAGATCCCTTGTTTATGGCCTCCTCTAGTTGTTGCCGTAGCAGCATGGCCTCGCTCTGGGCTTGGGCTAGCCGTTTTTGCGTTGCTTCATGGCGCGCTGCCGCATGGCTGACCTGCTCCCTCTCTGCATGCAGAGCGTTTTCTAGTTCCTTGGCGTTCTCGATCTCCAGCCGTTGCACGGCGCCCTCCAGCTGTTTGACGGTCAGCTCTGCAGCAGCGGCGGCAGACAGCGCCTCCTGGAGTTTCTGAGCTGCACTGCTTAGTTCCTTCTCCCTGTCGCCCAGACTGCTCTTCAGGCTGTTGATCCGTCGCTTTGCCTGAACGTACTGATCCTCGCTTTCATCAAGCTTTACTCTGAGTCGGTCGTTGTCTTTGAGGAGACGAGCTTTCTCCTCCTCCAGTTGATTGCAATAGCGTGTGTTGAACTCCAGGGAGGCTTCGCTCATTGACAGCTTCTTCAGAGAGTCGGCTAGCTCCTGTTGTAGCTGCCTCATGCTGGTCTCTCGTTCATTTTTCTCTTCCTCTAACTTATAAATCTGATCACGAAGATCTGCAGCCTTGGCAGCCAACTCCTTGTTTCTGTCCTCCACCATCTGAACCCTCCCCTCGCCATCAGAGCGCAGCTTGGACAGGATGTCTGTGAAGCGCTCCTGGGCGTCTGTGACGGCACGCTCCTTTGCAGATCCCTTGTTTATGGCCTCCTCTAGTTGTTGCCGTAGCAGCATGGCCTCGCTCTGGGCTTGGGCTAGCCGTTTTTGCGTTGCTTCATGGCGCGCTGCTGCATGGCTGACCTGCTCCCTCTCTGCATGCAGAGCGTTTTCTAGTTCCTTGGTGCGAGTCGCCGCCTGCTCCTTCTCTCTCTGCAGGACGTCCAGCAGCAGACCTTTCTCTGTTAGCTGCAGAGTGACCTGATACACCTCGTTTTTCATGCTGTTTGCACGAGCTTCAGCTTTGTCCAGCTTCTGTGACAGGCTGTTTACTGCCTCACGCTGGGAGGCTAATTCACCATTGAGTCGGTCTCTGATTCTCTGGTGTTCTTCTCTCTCCCGGATCAAAGTTTTCTCAGAGTCTGAATGAGCTGCCAGACTGAGCTCTGCCTCCTGCACAGCTCTGGCCAGGCGGCTGCGAGTCGACTCCACCTCTGCCTCCAGCGTCTCACGGGCCTGCCGTTCGTTTTCCAGCTGCTCTTTCAGCATCTCGTTCTCCTCCAGCAGATGGCTCTCTTTAAGCTCGCCATTGGCCTGCGATCGTTCTAGATCGTTCCTCAGCATGGACAGCTGCTCCTGCAGCGAAGCCGTCTGCTGGAGAAGCTCTCGTTCTCTGTCACTGGCTTCTGTGAGCTGAGACAAAGCCTCACTGCTGCTGCTGCTGATGATTCTCTTGTTCTCCACCTCTTGCTGCTTAGGGAGATGACTGTTCAGCAGATTTTCCTGCAGGGCCCGTGTGCTGCGTTCCTGAGCCAGCAGCCTCTGAGTCTCGGCGTGCTCCTCTTCCAGCTGTTTGGTGTTGCTGATCAGCGTTCTCATATCCAGCTCCACTTTCTGCTTCACCTGAACCTCCATCTGTTGCTGCTCCTCTAACCTCCGCAACTTATCCCTGGTAGCGTTGTACATCATGTTGGCATGATGGTTTTCCTGCTCTTGCTTCAGTTGAAATTTCGGGTTTGTGATTTGGGTCTTTAGTTCTAACTGCTTGCGCTTTAGCAGAGATTTCTCATGTTTAAGTTCCTCCAGGGAGACTTTTAGTGTCTCCCTTTCCATTTGCAGGTGGCACATCTTCTCTTCCAGATACCCATGGCGGCTATTCAGTTTTTCAATGTTGAGATCATACCTATGGAGAATGTTCTGCAGCTGTGTGGTACTGATTGAGTCAAAAGTGGATGAACTCAGCCTCTGCATGAGGAGGGATGCATGACGGTAGCCTGAGTTGGCCGAGTCCATGTCATCTGTGGATGTGTCCGAGGACTCGGTGAGCTCATCTAAATCGTCTCCTGTGTCTATGTCTTCAGGCTTCTGCATCTTCCTTTTCTGCTGTCTTCTAGTCAACAACCTTTTTTCATCGTCCGACACGTCACTTAAGAGTTTTAAGCTTTTATCTTTTCCCTGTTGGGTCACTTCTGTGTTTTTCGAACTAGAATGAGCTAGCATGAAGGGGGATGCATGACGGTAGCCTGAGTTGGCCGAGTCCATGTAATCTGTGGATGTGTCCGAGGACTCGGTGAGCTCATCTAAATCGTCTCCTGTGTCTATGTCTTCAGGCTTCTTCATCTTCCTTTTCTGCTGTCTTCTAGTCAACAACCTTTTTTCATCGTCCGACACGTCACTTAAGAGTTTTAAGCTTTTATCTTTTCCCTCTTGGGTCACTTCTGTGTTTTTCGAACTAGAATGAGCTAGTTTTTCTTCTTGAGTTGAGGAATCCATTGCTTGTATACAGGAAGGTAGTTTTACACAATGTACACACTTTATCCACAGGTTAAAAGATTAGAATAAAAGCAAACCGAGAAATAGATTCTCAAAAGGAAAAACCTGTGTTGACTGTTCGCCGTCCTTTGTGAAATGTGTTTGAATACTGAGGTCTGTGATGTCACCGGTTTAGAACTGATGACATCACCTATGAAGCCACACCCATTTGTAGCCACACCCATTTTTAGATTGCCTTTTAAGTCCAAAATTCAAACTGTTGCATTCTAATTCCAACTGTCATTGTCATGTGACTTTTGATTTTTTAAAAAAAAAATTTTTATTTTTTTTTTTTTACAGTGTCCTGTCTGGCAATAATAATAATTGTCTAGATGCCATAAATAGCCCAACAGATTTTACTATCACAAGTGTAGCAGTATGGCAATTGCCATATTGCTCCACTTGTTTCATGCATATAAATTGCTTTATTATAATTATGCAGGGAGTTTTACAGTTTATATGGACACTGCAATGTAAATAGAGCAAAAAAAACAGAAGAAGAAAAAGGGAAAAGATGAAAGAAAGAGGAGATAGAAAGGACACTAGGGCTGCAACTAACGATTATTTTAAAAATCATGTTTCGGCCGATTATTTTTTAGAATAATCGATGAATCGGACAAAAAATATTTTTTATATTAACCTCTAACTAGGGGTGCTAAAAAACACATCCTCCAAAGACAGATATTTACATGGGAATGTGGCATATAATTAATTGACATATTACTGATCTTGCTGGATTTTATTCTGCTTTACTTCCATAAATTGCAGGATCTTCTTTACTTTATCTTTGCCAGAAGATTTAAACTTTAAAAGCCTTGCCCTCATAATTTGCAAGTTAATTTATTTATAAAGTAAATATAAACGCTGCTTAAGCTAATTCAAATGAAATTAAAAGTAAAATAAGTAGCCAACCTTATCACTGTCTGTAACCTACTTACAAGGTAAGGAAAGCATCAGATGAGCTACCTGAGTAACTAACGTTACCTTTCCCCACTTTAAAATGAAACAAACATGGTTACTCATCCTGCTGATCAGCTATCTTCACTGCCATCGAAGGGTCCAACGTGTTTTCTTTTCAGGTGCTGCATCATAACAGTGGTACTTCCGTGCCATGTTAATTTGTTTTTACAAAAGTTGCATGTTACGACTTTTTTCGCTTTACGAAGCGCAGGCTATTTTAATTATTGTGATCAATTTGTGCCGTCAATCCCGGCGCATGCGCGCTTCATTTGCAGTCTGGACGCTGCGGGTAAACATCCTGCGGCTCTGACTGAAGCGATGAGAGGGACACACAACTAATCGATGATGAAATTCAATGCCAACGCTTTTAAAAGTCGATTTTTATCGATTTTATCGATTCGTTCTTGCAGCCCTAAAGGAGACAATGACAAAACATTTTCAGTCTGCTTCATCATCTGCAACGAGATGTAAAAAGAACAGCACAACCGAAAGACATGGTACGAGACATACAATAAAATAACACATTGATACTATCGCTGAAGTAGTATTATTTAGTCTGACATGTACTCTATGTTACCTGAAGATATGAATGTGGGCTTTCTGTATGGAAGTGAATCTCTGAGTACCTGGAACAAAGCACCTGTAGCTGTTTGTGAGAGTGCGCTTGTGCATGTAAAGTTTATCCATAGAGAAAATGCTCAATAGTGGTTGTTGAGAGCCAAAGAGGCGCCCCCTGAGAGCACTGTGTCCAGCGCCGGGAGACCCAAAGCCCCAGATGCCCAAAGGGACCCCAAGAGCGAAGGTACCAAGGAGGGGCCTGCCCCGGGAAATCAGACCCCCACCAAGGGAGGAGGAGAGACAGCCCTGAGGAAGTCCCCCAGCCACCGCAATGTCGGTGCCCCGGGGAGCTGCGGGGCCGCCGGCAGCCAGCCACCCTGAAGTGAATCTGACCCTGGGCCGACCTCCAGTCAGGAGCCCCAGCCAGGCCCCGGCCGGCCGGGCCCTGCGGAGAGGCCGCCAGGAATGAGCCAGCATCCACCCCCAAACCTCGAGCTCCACCAGTGCACCGGCGGGCCCCGACGCCAGCCAGCGGAGGGAGAGCAGGATGGGGGGGAATGGACTCCGCCCTTAGCAGAGACTTGAGATGTGTTTGGGAGAGGGGGCAGTTCAGACACCAACCTGGGAGAAAAAAAACTCACAGTCTCAATCACGCCTTCCCACCCTAGTGCCCCCACTCGTACCACACACACAAAAAAAATAAATTAAAAAAAGGGCGGATACACATTCACACATAACACTCACATCCAATAATACCAGGCCCAAAGACCCGGCGGCACCGGTGGTAAACCTGAAATCCGGATGGGGGGAGGGGAGCCGTGACACCACCACACCAACCCATCTCATTCCTGCTTCGAGCCCCACCCCGCACCTGGACCAGACCACCCCCAGCAAAAGCCTCCCCGGGATTGGGGCCCAACCATCCCACGCAGGCTTTATTAAGAACTTTCTTTAATGAAGCCATGGCTATAACGTTATGCTCTCTCTGCTTTTCCTCAGGGTAGTTTTTACCTCGTCTGTTCCTGTTTTGCTGTGATGCCATCCTGGAGAGAAACATCAGCTGTGCTGCTTCCATCAACACCCTTGTTTATAGATGCTGGAGATTGGCCTGTTTTCCAGTGTGGGCCTGTTTCTCTGACCGTGACTGGTTGGATATGCTCTTTTCATCCTCTGGCATGGGAGCTGGCTCGGAGCTCATCTGCCTGGCTGTGTGCCTCCTGGACGTGGTCGCCTTTTGCAGCTGCTTTTTGTGTCTCTGCTTCTGTCAGAAGGCAGATGGCCGCTCACACTGAGCCTGGTTTTCCTGGAGGTTCCTTCCTGTTAAAAGGGAGTTTTTCCTCTCCACTGTCGCTACAAGCATGCTCAGTGTGAGGGATTGTATTTGAGTAAATGAGTCAATGCAATCAAATGGTTTTCCTTAGAGAGAAAACTTTAAATCAATTTGACTGTATGATCTGGTTGAACTGTAAAGAGCCTTGAGATGACTTGTGTTGTGAATTTGGTGCTATATAAATAAACTGAATTGAATTATAATTAATAGTTGTCTTTTAACATTAAAGGGAATAAATGACCCTGGTTCTCTCAAACCTTTAACACCCAACTATTTGCTTTAAATGAAATCTGAATCTGCCCTACCTCTTGTAGGAAAATTTGTGAGGGAGGATATTTATTCCTCAAAACGTTGGCGCAGTGTACAGTTTCTGGTTGAACAGTTTTGGAGTCGGTGGAAGAGGGAATACCTCCAGAATATTTCCATTAGACAAAAGTGGCATGTAATTCGGCACAATCTAAAAGTAAATGATGTTGTAATTGTAAAAGAGGATTTTCTCCCAAGAAATAGGTGGCAGTTGGGTCGTGTTTTGGAAACAGTGGTTGATAGTGATGGCTTGGTTAGAAGAGGGAAGTTTAGAACAGGAGATCAAAGATCAGGAAGGGATATTATCTCAAAGAGTTCAGTGATAGAAAGACTGGTGCAAAAATTGGTGGTGTTATTGGAAAGTGACTCATAAACCGAATGTACACAGACAAGTAAGTTTTAAACAATCTGCGTGGTTTTAAAGGAAACTTTAAATTAATGCATGATTTTGTTTTGATAATTCAAGTATTATTGGTGGGAGTGTAGTGGATAGAGAACCAATTCAATTAAGTTGCCTAAATTATTCACTTTTGTAGACTATTTATTGCTAATTATTTAAAGGATGTTGCAGATTGTGTCTGTTTTGATTAGCACTGGTGGTTCGTATTTTGTTTAATTGTATTTGCACTTTGTAAAGTTTTGTTGTTTTTTTTGTTATGTACCTTACGGGCTGCCGTAGCTAAATGAGGGCAGGCCCTATAAAGGCTGGCAAATCATTGTATCAATGAATGACTTCAACAAACTGTCAGAGATGTGCTTGGCACTATCAACACTTAGCGTTACCCGGTGAAAGCAGCGAAGTATGTTTTATTTTGTTGTTTGTGTGTTGTAAGTTAATGTTTATATTCTAATATTTGTATATCTGTTTAGTTTTCACGGTGATTACGGTGACTGAGGTAATGCAAGATGATTGAGATGACTGATGGTCCACATCAAAGAAAAATAAACAAACATTGGAAATCACCCGTCGAGACCGCACAAATTAATTCAAGTGCTGGGGAGCTGCTAAACATTGTATAATATAATTTCTATCTACATTTATGCATGCACTTCATGTGATCTCAAGGCGTGGTGGTGCTGGATGAGATTCGGCAACGTTTCTCAAACTTTTTTTGCTGCAATCTGCTGAGATTATCACTTTTAAATGTTCTTATGTTTTAGTAGTTATAGAACATTTAGAGTTTAGCATCTGAACTTTCTGATTTTTATTCCCCTTTCCAGGTGAACTGACTCAAGGTGAGCTGTACTCGGCCATCAAGTGGGGAGATGCACTTCTATGAATTAGTGGAGGACACTAAAGATGGCATTTGGCTGGTTCAGGTAAAAGTTGTAGTATGGATGTTCTAGCTTTTTTATCTGCAGACATTACTGGTGTGTTTTCAGTAAAAGCAGGGAATTGTTTGGGTTTTTGGTGATAGGCAAATCAGTCCAAAAAGATGCAGAATTGAATCGTTCGCCACTAGAGATATTTATTTGCTCATTTGTTCCTGTCATGTGTGAACTTTATTAGTTTTTTTTTTGTTCTACACCACCAAGGACTGGGACGGTAGTTTGGTCAAGCCTCGCAGTATTATGTCTTTTGACAGGTTTTTCTGAAAGGTTTGCTACTCAAGACAGACAGATTTATTTTTGTGTACACATGTGTATTGTTGGGATGTATTGCCACAAGAGAGCCCAAATCAGTTTAATGAACCATCTAAAACCATCCCCCTTTCCTTTTTCACAAAAGATTCTCTGGAAAGTACTGTAACTGCCCACTGTAAAGGCAGTGAGCTAACGCATGGACCAATCAGCTGATGGAGGAGGCTGAAACTTCAACAGGAAATGCCCTTATGTCACTCATGGTTTAAAACGGGCGAGTGCGAGTTAAATCTTCCTCTTTAACTGGGTTTGACCGCCTGTGAGGAGAGGCCCATTTCACGTGAAATGTCAGGAGAAAGCTAACTGGAAGTAGCTTTCGTTTTTCCTGCGTCAAAAGTCACGGATCGCAGCGTCCCATCTTGCATAGCGGCTGCGCTAACTGGGGAGACAGAAACCTCCGGAGTTTCTTTAAACTAGTCAATTAATCTACCTTGTGTTTATTTTCTAATAGCGTGTAATGTTTTCATGTGTGTTAGATTTTCTGTAATGCTGAATTATTAGAATAAAGTCATCATTATTTAAATTGTAGTGGTTCTGTGTATCATATAGCGAACGATTAATCACTCAGGCCAGAGCGTTTTGACCCCAGCAACACTGAATCCACCATTGAAGACTACCGCCCTCCGCCCGGGAGAAGTTAAAGTTGGAAATCTGGAAAACTACTTCAAGAAGCCTGCGTGTGTTCATAAAAAGCCTCCAGCCCTCTGTCCGAGACCGCTATTCTTCTCTTTGTCAGGCACTGAGAGAGGAATATTCAGTGCACACTGATCCGGGCTCCGTGATGTTCAGTGCCCTCGGCATCCAACAGAAACGAAATGAATCGCCGAGAGGTTTTTACTGTCGGTTGCAAGCTGCATATTTTCAGGGGCACATTGCCCCTGGGCTGGAGGAAGACTACTCACTAAAATTTATTTTCCTCCACAATCTTCACTAATGCATAAGATACGATGTTACCATGTACTGCTGAACCAAAACCCTCACCATACAAGAAATTAGGAAATATGCACAGAAAGCATGGGAAAGGCGCGTCCGCACCAGCAAGGGTACCGATAGCGAAAACAGGGTCCTACAGGTTCAGGCAGAATAAGGGAGAAAGTTAGAGTGGGAGGGACAAGAGGTTCCTCCTTCCAAAGCTAGATTTAAAAACGGATCTCGCAATTGTGATACTCGCCCACAAGAAAAGAGAGGTTTCCAGGATTGGAAGAGTTCACAGAATAGAGAGGACAGTGGGTTCCAAACGAGGTACAGATCAGAGATGAGCCGATATAACAGACCGCCTGACCAAAGGAAGCTAAAGAAGGAGTATGAAGGGAGACATCAGGATGAGAAGATAGAGCAGTCAGCCATGAAGGAGATGGAAGCTAAGCTCCGTAGATTGTTAATAGAAATGGTTCGTCAGATCAACAACCCCTCGAAACCCCAGCTGAACATGAAAATCCCCCAGAAAAACCTGACCTGAAGCCTTCATCAGCTTTACTAGGTGGGGACTTACCTTCCACAAATTCCTTATTACACTTACTGGAAAAGGTCCAGGTGGTACTGTAAGCCCCCAGAATCCCCTCAGATCTCATCAGGAAAGACCTCCATTTTGGTCCACCTCTTCTCAGAGAAGACCAATACCCGCTCAGAAAATCTTCCCTACCAGGAAGTCAGCAACATTTCCCAGGATGCAAGATCAGAAAATGGGTCTTACTTAGACTGTAGAACCGGTTCTGGCCTGTTCAGGTCAGCTGCTGCCCATGGCTCACCAGCAGAGGTCCAGGGAGGCTGCAAAGCAACCCGACACGCTCCCCAGCAGGTGACAAATCAATCGTCTCCATCATATGACAGGAAGCAGGTGTGTTCCTCAGAACATTCTGCCTGCTGTCAGCTCCAATCATCAGCCCTTTTGGAACAAACTCCTCCTAAGCAAAGGGGGGTTACATCCATTTGGCTCAATTTACAGATGAACTGGATCGGACCAGTTCTCATCCCGATAGAAGGTACTCAACATCTTGCATTTGTAACATTCTTCTCCATAGAACAGGTAGAAAGAATCAAATGCAACCCAGAATCCACTTCTGTGGAATGGAGTGTGCCTCCATTCTTAAAGTCACATGTGCATAGTACCATTCAGATTGAGTGTATGTTAACACACAGGAAAACATGCACTGATCTCATAAGGTTTCATTTCCATATTAAAAATTTCACAGCTTTTAAACTAGTCTCTTCTTAAGGAAAGGACTATAATGTCAAAATATCTGTTAAAAATGAGGAAGTTATGACCCCTAAGATAAAGCCTTTGCGCCTCGGGGGCTTCCTCACCGGTTCTTTTCATGGGAGCAAGTTATTTACTACTCTTAACTCAAACTGGGTAAAACCATATAAAAAGGAACAGGAGTAAAAAAATAACAGAGTTTATTCCAGATCAGGTCGTTACAGGACAGAGAAAATGCTTGAAGCTTGCACAGCTGTGGGCTCAAAAATCACGTCCGCGAGCGTCTAACAAAGATTGAGCCTCGAACAACGTCATCTCCTGCTTCTTATACCTTCTGAGTCTGTGTTGCATCATGTGGATGCTTAGCTGTCCGTATCAGAAACTGACACGCCATCCATGTCTTGAACTTCATGCAGGTTGCTTCTATGCTTCAGGGTTACAGATAGCTCTCCTATCAGACCGGCTCCAAGATGTGCCCATATCCTGTGTATTCTTAAAGACACGAAGGCTGTCCCGATTAGATGACCTCCGTACACACAGTGACATCCGCAATGTGAAGGAAGGCCTTCTACTCTGTCTAATCTGGCTAACAGAATAACAATGCACATGATGTAAAAAGATTAAACCTAAAAACTCATAAAAAATTTGTTAGTATACAGGTGCTGGTCATAAAATTAGAATATCATGAAAAAGTTGATTGATTTCAGTAATTCCATTTAAAAAGTGAAACTTGTATATTATATTCATACATTACATACAAACTCATATATTTCAGATGTTTATTTTGTTTAATTTTGATGATTACAAATGACAACAAATGAAAATCTCAAATTCATCATATCAGAAAATTAGAATATTGTGAAACGGTTCAAAATTGATGGCCCCTGGTGCCACACTCTAATCAGCTAATTAACTCAAACCACCTGCAAAAGTCTTTAAATGGTCTTTCAGTCTAGTTCTATAGGCTACACAATCATGGGGAAGACTGCTGACTTGACAGTTGTCCAAAAGACGACCATCGACACCTTGCACAAGGAGGGCAAGACACAAAAGGTCATCGCTAAAGAGGCTGGCTGTTCACAGGGCTCAGTGTCCAAGCACATTAATAGAGAGGCGAAGGGAAGGAAAAGATGTGGTCGAAAAAAGTGTACAAGCAAGAGAGATAACCGCACCCTGGAGAGGATTGTGAAACAAAACCCATTCAAAAATGTGGGGGAGATTCACAAAGAGTGGACTGCAGCTGGAGTGAGTGCTTCAAGAACCACCACACACAGACGTATGAAAGACATGGGTTTCTGCTGTCGCATTCCTTGTGTCAAGCCACTCTTGAACCACAGACAGCGTCAGAAGCGTCTTGCCTGGGCTAAAGAGAAACAGGACTGGACTGCTGGTGAGTGGTCCAAAGTCATGTTCTCTGATGAAAGTAAATTTTGCATTTCCTTTGGAAATCAAGGTCCCAGAGTCTGGAGGAAAAGAAGAGAGGCACTTCATCCACGTTGCTTGAAGTCCAGTGTAAAGTTTCCACAGTCAGTGATGGTTTGGGGTGCCATGTCATCTGCTGGTGTTGGTCCATTGTGTTTTCTGAGGTCCAGGGTCAACGCAGCCACATACCAGGGAGTTTTAGAGCACTTCATGCTTCCTGCAGCTGACCATCTTTTTGGAGATGCAGATTTCATTTTCCAACAGGACTTGGCACCTGCACACAGTGCCAAAGCTACCAGTACCTGGTTGAAGGACCATGGTATCCCTGTTCTTAATTGGCCAGCAAACTCTCCTGACCTTAACCCCATAGAAAATCTATGGGGTATTGTGAAGAAGAAGATGCAATACACCAGACCCAACAATTCAGAAGAGCTAAAAGCCACTATTAGAGCAACCTGGGCTATCATAACACCTGAGCAGTGCCACAGACTGATCGACTCCATGCCACGCCGCATTGCTGCAGTAATACAGGCCAAAGGAGGCCCAACTAAATACTGAGTGCTGTACATGCTCATACTTTTCATGTTCATACTTTTCAGTTGGCCAACATTTCTATAAATCCTTTGTTTTTATTGGTCTTCAGTAATATTCTAATTTTCTGATATGATGAATTTGAGATTTTCATTTGTTGTCATTTGTAATCATCAAAATTAAACAAAATAAACATCTGAAATATATGAGTTTGTATGTAATGTATGAATATAATATACAAGTTTCACTTTTTAAATGGAATTACTGAAATCAATCTACTTTTTCATGAAATTCTAATTTTATGACCAGCACCTGTAATGCACTGGATGGATCCAACAGAAGTGGTAAAACTTGACATGATATCCTCTTAAGTTGTCAGAAATGTACGCAGGTTAGATGACACATCTGGAAGCAGCTTGCTAAAAAGATCGCACACCTCTGATCCCCTTTCTAGATTTGGTAAAAATTTAAAGTTTTGAACGGTCTCTAATGCTTTTTGTCTCCCTCTAGTGGTGGCTTGTGTAATTACAACTACTCAGCTGATTCCAGTGTTTTGAGATCCAAATAGCGTAGTGCTCTCTTTGACGCCATCTGGTGGCTTAGGGTTGTCATTGAAACCACAGTTTGAAAATTCCCAGGCGAAGACCCCTTGTCTCCCTCTGGTGGTGGTTTCTGAAATTGCAGCTGAATGGTGTAAAGAAGGAGTGACTTGTTTTTTTGTTTGTTTGGTTTTTTTCTCTTTTAAGCTGTTTCACTGTTGCTTTCTGTGCTGTGGACAAACAGTGTTTTAACAACTGGAGAATGGTAAACTTAAAACTGCGGGTATAAAAAAACAAAACCTCAGGTTTAATTGTGCAGCTGCTGACAACTTTTACCACTTCTGCCAGGTTTTCCAACACTGCATTATCCATTTTGTGTGCAAGAGTCTTTTGTTTAACAGTGTTCTATACATATATACATACACGCGCACACATCTTTATATATGTATATATATATATATATATATATATATATATATATATATATATATATATATACATATATATACATATGCACACTATCAAACCCAGCCAAGCTTACTTACTGAAAGGTGAGTGATTTGAACCATTAAAAACCCACAGATTTAAATGCGATTGGCAACCTGTCAAATTAAAGGGGAAGTTGCACGTTGAAAGAAACCTGCTTATCGTTTTATCCGCACGTTCTACACCTGCCGTATAGGTAACAACTAGGGGTGTAAATCTCATCCATCATGGCGATTCGATACAGTATCGATTTCCTGACCCAACGATTCGATTATTTTCGATACTTAAGAATACACCACGATTCGATTCGATTAATCGATTAATCGGTTAATTTTTTTTTTATTATTATTATTTTTTTTTTTTACACCTTACAGGCTAAACAAAGTTTCAAGTTTGAAATAAATCAATGAAAGCTGTAATATCATTATGCATTTTCTTTAGAAACAACAGCAAATAACAGAAGTAGAAAAGTTGCATCAAAAAATACTGCAAAAATACTGCACAATATCAGTGTAATGAGTTCAATGCAATACCTCGGCTCCAGAGAAACTGTCCAACATATTTTTTTAGAATGTAATAAATATATTCAGGAAAGAGAGATGTTGTGTAGAGAGTTAGACAGGAATAAAAATAAACTAGATATAAGGGAATTGTTTCAAAGGTCATCTGGGGATGTAGTTTTTGGGGGTATTTTTAATTTTCTAAGAAGAACGGGTATTTTAGGGAGAATATAATAGTTTGTCTGGTCCATACTCCATTCTGGAAGGTGGCGGTAATGCACCTATAAGTTGTTTGCCGACCGCCATTAAAAAAAAGAAGAAGAAGAAGGCTCCAGAGTGTTGCGTCACCGCCCCCTTGAGAGACGCTCTGCTGCTCCTCTCCCAGATTGTAGCTGATTGCAAACAGTGCACCAGACAGGAGGCCGGCTAGTTTTGTTTTTATGACCGAAATTGCGGAAAACAACTCGTGAAGTTTGACCCGCTAGAAGAGCGAGGTGCGCGAGAACGCTGGGAGCCTTTTTCCAGCTGAATCTCCGCTCTTTTTGCCCCATTGTCCCTCCGTCGTCGGACTAAACTCGCCCCCACTTCCTCATCGCCTCGGCCGTATCTAGACCCACAGCGTGTAGCCCAGACCACGCTTCAATACTGAGCATAATTTAAAAATGTCTGTGTGAAGCTTGCTGCAACAAACTGCTGTAAGAGTATAACCAGGAAGCGCGGTAGGATGGCAAAATAGGTTTAGCGCCACCGCAGCACGGGAGGGAGAATTACGCCCAGGAGCAAATGGATAAAAATAGACCGGAGGGGGAAAAAAAAAACATTAATCGATTATCTTGCGGACGTGTCGATGCATCGGATCGTCGGCTTTTGGATCGATGCATCGATACAAAACGAATGTTATTTACACCCCTAGAAACAACCTACAGTAAACGCAGTGTGTTTGTTTAGTGCGTGTAGTATAGTGTAGTGTATCAACATCTGCCCTAGCTTGGACAATCTCAGAAGCCAGTTAAACAGACTCTTAGAGTTTTATTCTTTTTTGTTTTCTTTAAACTAGTCATTTAATCTAGCTCGTGTTTATTTTCTACTATCGTGTAGTGTTTGCATAGATCTTAGATTTTCTGTAATCCTGAATTATTAGAATAAAGACGTCATTGTTTAACTTGTAGTGGTTCTGTGTTTCATATAGCGGACGATTAATCACTCAGGCCAGATCCACCCCCTTTGGTAATAGTGTGAATAAACAGAGATAAAAAGGTTCTTTAATGATAATTAATAGCTCTTCTGATAACTTAGCCTGGGTCACTAGATTGGTGTGGATACCTGAATTTTAACAGCCGGTCCAGGAACCCTCCAAAGGTGAAACAACAAACCCTGGTAATTAAGTAAATTAAAGCTACATTTATTCAACTAAGAACACTAAATTGATTTCACCTCCGATTTTGAATATGTTAAATAATTAACTATAACTCCAGTTCTGGTTAATCATTTATTCATTATCTGCAGGATATTATTTTGCACAACAGTATACAAAAATAAATTTCTTTTAAAACAACTCTAACCTATTTCATTTAAGTGCTGCCTTGAAAACAGTAATAAATACATAAAAAAAAATGGTAATATAAACATATGACTGCTGGCCTCGTCTCCAGGCAGCAGACTGGAGACGAGGAGACGAGGTAAACCCCACTCTGATTTTTTTAATCTAATATGCTCTCTCTGTATCATGCAAAATAATACATTCAAGGGATGGCAAATAAATGTATTGTATTTACATCTGCACTGGAACTATAAGAGGAACTGACACTGAGCATTTAAAATATTAACTTCACTTTACAGGTTGTACATATGGGCTATAGTTACTGTGAAGCCAATTTCATATATTTTATCTAGGGATGAAACAATCATATTAATGGATTATTTAAATAATTGTCACCTAATTTAGTAATTGATTAATTGATTTAGCCGACAGAGCCACCCACTTAGAGCAGGAATTATACCAAGACTGTAAAAAAAATATGTAAACATTTTGCATTTAAGACAAAAAAAAATTTTGTCTGTCAATATTCTCCATCCAGAATTCCTCAAGAGGAAACGTTTCTGTTTCACCTTGTTTAATTTAGTAAAAAATCTTCTTTAAGGAACCTTTGTCTATCTGATTATTAATCGGAAAAAAAAAAAAAAATCGACGGATGAATCACTTTGAAAAATAATCATAAGTTGCAGCCCTAATTTTATGGTAACATTCCAAACACATTTCTTCCATAATACAGCACTGATTATCTGTGTTTCATACAATCATATAATATTTCTATTATAAAAGTGGGTTTTTTATAGTAAAGAATTAAATGTAACAAAACGTTTTATCATCATCCTATATTGCTTACTGTCTGACTGTTTAAATACCTCCTTATGTTTATTTTCTTTTTCAGTGGCATCATCTACAAAGCACAACACTAAGAATGAGCCAAAGTTTTTTCAAATATAAAATCACTTTTAACAATTATAAAAGACAATATAACACAATCTTATCTGTAATGTAATATATCCAGAATAAACAGCCAGATTCAAGCATTATTTACCAGGCATGAATGTTTGCACTAATTTACTTATGGACCGTGTGGAAATCTAGAAAAATATAATCAGTGTAAACAGAGTTCCTCTGTTTGTCTTTATCCTATTTCTAGAAGTAGAAGTTAATTAAATAGCACTATTTTAATGTGGAAAACAAAAAATGGCAGATATTTAGCATCCTTCTCATGTTATGTTCTACAAAAGAAATAACACCTGTGATTTAAACCTGAACTGCCGTCAAAAATTAAAATAATAGCAAAGAAATATTGGTAAAAGGGAATCAGAAATGTTGATAGTTTATAGTCTTTGTTCATTTTAACAGCAGTTTTCTGAACTCCTGTTTGACTCAGAATATTTAGTTTAATAAAGAAATCCTAATGTTGGTTACTTACATTTCTCAAGTTCCACAAATCCAAACTCTCTCCTGCTTCTTTACAGAACTGCAATCAGAAGCTTTCACCTGTTTTAGCATAGATAATATTTAGTTTTTTTATTTGGACTAGTTTCGTAGCCTAATATTAATTTTAGTAACCGCCGTATTCTAGTGTCATTTTTTTTTTTTTTCTTGCACTCCAAGCACACACGCGCACATACAGACTAGAAAACAAGCAATCAGAAAGAGAGAAGGAGGAACTTAAGGTGGAAAAATCAGAGAGTGGAGTTAAACAGCGGAGCACAGTTCCATCATGGAACTTCCATGTGCTGCTATGTGAAAGGTACAGGAAAGACCAGGCAGCTGCAGCTACCAGGAAGAGGAGCTGCAAGAGGAAAAGGAGCGACTGCTGTAACAACGCTGGATTATAAACATGTTGTTCACGTGCAATTATTGGTAGGGACAAATAGGTCGGACCAAAATTATGGTAGGGACATGTCCCTATGGTCCCTATGCAAACCTACATAGTTTAAAGGCTGTGTTTTTTATACAGATACAGATAAGGACAGGTATCCTTTATAAAGATCACGAGTTCAAACACATACCTTTAAAACAGGCAATGAATGGGGGACAGGAGGAAATCTTAAACAAGAGGCTACGGACAAGATGCTATCCGACATCTTGTTTGTGGATGACAAAAAATGCATTTTCCACCAAATTTTACAAATGAGTTCTTTAAAATCTCGTGATTTTATTATATTTTCTTACTTTTTTTTCTCTCTTATATGTTGTGGTTCCAGTTTGTGAGGTTATTTTGTGTTCTTTTTCAGTTCCACCGTTTGTCCACCAGATGGTGCCATTGGGTTACTTCTGTCTTGGGATTGCCTACACCTGTTAATTACCCACACCTGCAACTAATCTCTCATCACCTCAGAAGAGTATATTAGCAGCTGACTGTCATCACCTCTTCGCCAGAGTGTTTGCCTGTTTGGGGTACTCTAGCCCCTCTGAGCTTTTGCCGAGTCAATCTTTGAACTTTTCTAGTTAATTCATGCTCTTACCTTTTTTGTCTTGTGAATCTTCAGCAGGAAACCTATAGATCCTCTGGGATTTTTCAAGTCCTTCAAGAAAATTTCTAGAGACGCTGAGAGTTCCACAACTCACCTCCTCTGAACTCCAACCAATTCAAGATTTCCAGCTGACAGTCTGCTCTGCTGTGCCAACAGAAACTTAACTGTCCGCCCTCCAACGACTCGTCCACCTTCAACCAGCCAAGGCCTCCACAAACTGGAACCTCAGACCACCCTCCAACTCAAGCAGAGAGTTCAAGTAAGAAGTAAAAGCACCAGTCTTCCACATTTTTTCCCCCACCAACTTTGAACCCACCTAATCAATCTCTCCTTTGTGCAGTCGCACCTGGATTCCTGGCCGCAGGACCCCCAAGCTGACATAACTCGGTTTGTCTCTTTGTTTTAAGGAAAAGAAAATGATATGAATGAATGATAAAAATTACAGACCCTGTCATCTTTCTGAAAATAAAAGAATATTTGTGACTGAATACTTATTTGCAATACCATAAAAAGCTGCAATAATCATACATTACATTTTCTCAACTGCCATTTACCAAATGTGTTGCTTGTAAGATTTCATAAAACCTGGGATTCTCAGATATTAGTAACCTGTGAAAAGATTTACTTTGTTTACATGAATCAATGTATTTTAAAACCTTGAAAATGGCGTGTTAAGTTTGTGGTCTTTATATTACAAACATTTCATCCATGTTGACTTTTTTGTAAATAATAAATACTGATTCCTTTTGGGAAACGTTTAGTGTCTTATTCTGCAAACATCTGTGGTGGAGACTGATCACATCCGGTCATCCCAGAATCCGCACTGAAGCCTCTTACCAATATCGTTCAGAAAGATCACCAGTCTCCAAGCTCATTATTGACATTTAAACACAAGACACCCACCCTGCGAAGGAGTGGCACAGCCTCATATTTATCAGCAAAAAATAATCGCCTCAAAGGTGTGAACTGTTTCCAGCAGGTGTCCTGTATTTCTGTATATACTGGTGTACATCCATTAATTGTGTGTGCTAGCTTTCCTATACTTCATTAAAGAAGCTAAAGCAAAACAGCACATCGTGAGGTCATGGTGATGCTGGGCTCAGCTGAAACATGCAGGCGGACAAACTTGTTGGTGCCCCTTATTTATTGAAATGAAAACCCAAAATATTCACAGAAATAACTCGAATCTGACAAAAGTGATAATATATAAACAAAATCTAACAAAAAAACCCAAAAACAAATGAAAGATTGACATTTCCTTTCAGCCTGTAACGATCTTGGTTCTGTTGGTTTTCTCTGTTTTCAGTTTCACGTTTATCCATGTTTTTCTTTGTTTTCTAGCTTTATTGCTGTGTTGTGGATTTATTTAAGTTTCTTAGGTCTTTCTTTGCTTGTCCTCTGTTGCCCCCTTGTGTTTTCTTTTCCCTTGTCAGCTCTACTCACACCTGCTCATTATCAGCTCGTTAGTCATGCCTTTGTTCAGTCAGCCATAAATACACTCCCTGTGTATTGTGTGTTTGTCTTACCTCAGCTCCCTGTGATTAGTTTGCCCTGTTGTCTCCATGATTCTGGTTTGTGTTTAATGTTTTTGTTGGATTTTTGGATTACTGTTTTTGCTACCTGTGTTATCCAATTAAATCTGCAAGAACTCTCCTCAGCCTCCCTGCCTCTGCATTTGGGTCCTCACACAAACCAACACAATTGTGACAGAAGGAACCAGTCATTATGGACCCAGCCGAACATAGCATGGACGCCCTGAAAAGAATTTCTCTTATTCTAGGGATTGCTCTGGACTCCATAGCCACTCTCAGTCCACCTTGGAAGAGGGTGGGTGCGGCTGACTAATTAAAGCCGATCTTTCTCTCTAACTCCTCACTTCTTTCACCCCAAGTTTTATCTGAACTATTCACAGAGTTGGAGTGGAACTGTCAAGCCGCCTTCGCCCAACTCTGCAATAGACCTCCACCACCCAAACCATCATTCCATCACTTTCCCACTCTTCTGTCTCTAACCTCCAATCCAGTTTCTCCACCATCACCAGCTGTTGGTCCTCCCCTGCTTCCACCAGGCATAAGCACCGGGGAAAGAAGGCAACTCTCACTCGGCGGGTCAGCCTGATGCCTCCACGTCACTCCCTCTCTGGTGGGTCAACCTGCCGCCTCCATGTCACTACCTCCCCGGCGGGTCAGCCTGCCGCCTCCACCACAATATCTCCGGCGGGTCAGCCTGCCGTCTCCACATCACGCCGTCTCCGGCGGGTCAGCCTGACGCCTCCACGTCACTCCCTCTCCGGCGGGTCAGCCTGCCGCCTCCACCACAATATCTCCGGCGGGTCAGCCTGCCGTCTCCACATCACGCCGTCTCCGGCGGGTCAGCCTGCCGTCTCCACATCACGCCGTCTCCGGCGGGTCAGCCTGACGCCTCCACGTCACTCCCTCTCCGGTGGGTTAGCCTGACGCCTCCATGTCACTCCCTCTCCGGCGGGTCAGCCTGCCGCCTCCACCACACTATCTCCGGCGGGTCAGCCTGCCGCCTCCACCACACTATCTCCGGCGGGTCAGCCTGCCGTCTCAACGTCACGCCGTCTCCGGCGGGTCGGCCTGATGCCTTCACGTCACTCCCTCTCTGGCGGGTCAGCCTGCCCTCCTCCACGTCACTCCCTCTTTGGCGGGTCAGCCTGCCTCCTCCATGTGACTTCCTCACCGGCGGGTCAGAATGACGCCTCAACGTAACACCCTCTCCGGCAGGTCAACCTGCCGCCTCCATGTCACTACCTCTCCGGCAGGTCAACCTGACGCCTCCATGTCACTCCCTCTCCGGCGGGTCAGCCTGACGCCTCCATGTCACTCCCTCTCCGGCGGGTCAGCCTGCCGCCTCCACCACACTATCTCCGGCGGGTCAGCCTGCCGTCTCCACGTCACTCCCTCTTCAGCGGGTCAGCCTGCCGCCTCCACCACAGTATCTCCGGTGGGTCAGCCTGCCGTCTCCACGTCACTCCCTCTTCAGCTGGTCAGCCTGCCGCCTCCACCACAGTATCTCCGGTGGGTCAGCCTGCCTTCTCCACGTCACGCCATCTCCAGCAGGTCAGCCTGACGCCTCCACGTCACTCCCTCTCCAGCGGGTCAGCCTGCCGCCTCCACCACACTATCTCCAGCGGGTCAGCCTGCCGTCTCCATGTCACTCCCTCTTCAGCGGGTCAGCCTGCCGCCTCCACCACAGTATCTCCGGTGGGTCAGCCTGCCTTCTCCACGTCACGCCGTCTCCGGCGGGTCAGCCTGACGCCTCCACGTCATGCCATCTCTGGCGGGTCAGCCTGCCGTCTCCACGTCACGCCATCTCCGGCGGGTCAGCCTGTGGCCTCCACCACACTATCTCCGGCGGGTCAGCCTGCCGTCTCCACGTCACTCCCTCTTCAGCGGGTCAGCCTGCCGTCTCCACGTCACTCCCTCTTCAGCGGGTCAGCCTGCCGCCTCCACCACACTATCTCCGGCGGGTCAGCCTGCTGTCTCCACGTCACGCCATCTCCGGCGGGTCAGCCTGCTGCCTCCACCACACTATCTCCAGCGGGTCAGCCTGCCGTCTCCACGTCATGCCATCTCCGGCGGGTCAGCCTGTGGCCTCCACCACACTATCTCCAGCGGGTCAGCCTGCCGTCTCCACGTCATGCCATCTCCGGCGGGTCAGCCTGTGGCCTCCACCACACTATCTCCGGCGGGTCAGCCTGCTGTCTCCACGTCACGCCATCTCTGGCGGGTTAGCCTGCTGCCTCCACCACACTATCTCCGGCGGGTCAGCCTGCGGCCTCCACCACACTATCTCCGGCGGGTCAGCCTGCGGCCTCCACCACACTATCTCCACACTATACCATTTTTTTGTATGTCACCTGAACGCAGCCTTCTCTCTCCCGCAGTGGCAGCCGGCCCATAGGGGGCGCTGGGGCACCGCCCTCCCTGATAAGAAGAGAGAAACGTAAAATATATTTTTAGAAATTAACTCATAAATGTCAGTTTTACTCTCTAGAGTGTGTACCTATAAGCAAAACAAATTATATAAACTACATTTCGCTATCTACCGTCATTCATTTGTGGATTTCAACAGACAGACTCCTACAGTTTCTGTCTTGGGGCTGTGATCAGACAGACCCACATTTGCAGAGAATCTGTCAAGCATGTACTATTGGTAGGTGAATTTAATGGCCAATCAGCGTCTCAGAACTTTATGGTCTTTATGGGCTCTGAAAATACTGCACTTTAACAGGCTTCTGCACCCAAGCGCAGGTGCAGACAATTAGAGGGAAGATGGCGAATGTAACGAGCGAGATGCAGCTTCCTCCAAATTCGGTGAGATCCTTATTTATCTACCCGTTTTCCAGAAGAACATCCCTGTTGTAGAGTAGGAAAATTTCATGTCATGGTTTTTGTGACTGTGACGAATCCACCTCGTTGCTTAAAACATCCTCTAACTTTGCGCGCCACACACACATTCCTGTTATACTGTGCTTGTGAGGACCAATTCACTCTCACTGAGCCCAGTAGCTCCATTAACTTAAAACACACAAGCTTTTCCTGGTTACCTGCTGACGTATTGAGGGTGCACACTTAATATTTCAGTGGGGTTAGCCGTGTGTGTGTGTGTGTGTGGGGGGGGGGGGGGGGGGGGGGGGGGGGGTACGTGTTTATGCTACGGGGACTTGTCATCTTCAGTCTGGCGGCGTCTTTGCTGGGTTCAAACCCAGTTTGGTGTAATTGAATAAGTCAATGAATCTGTGTAAAAGAATTAAGTTGTAAAAATTATTTGTTTTTGTACATCAATTGTTTGTGGAGGTAATATATGGACAAAACTGATTAATGAGAAGAAATCAGAAATAAGAGAGCCTGAGGGTAGGGGCTTAAACTATTTAATGAGGGCTGTGGGAAGAAGAGCGGCCATTTCTGTTTTCTGTTTCTTTGTTACATTGCTGGTAACTGGAGGGAGGCTGAGGCCCAGAGTATCTTGTACATGTTTAGTTTCTTTTGCACCCTGTTTTGAGTTTTTGAGCACAATAAATCACCAACACCGGTAACCCAACTGAGCCTGGATTCTTGGAGGCCAAAGAACCCCGTCACAGTGACCCAAATCATCACTGTTACTGTTATTATATAGTAAATTAAATCATTACTGTTAAATTGTATGTATTGTCCAATTGTTTATTTGAATTCTTATTCCGGATTATTTGGAGACATACACTAGGCTATATCAGCCCCACCAAAAATATTTTTCACCAGCCGCCACTGCTCTCCCGACACAGACTAGTGTTAACTATCGCTATTGGCCCGCTCCAGACCAATAAGGGCGGGCCAATACTCGCTCTTGCCAATGCCCAGGCAGCTTTTTCATGCAGCGGAAAAACAAACCAGGAGAAGAAAATGTCTGCGGTGTGAAAGTATTTTATTATAGAAACGCCGGCGAATACATCGGCTAAATGCAAGATTTGCGACCTGAAAGTTTCACGAGGCAGAGTTAAAACGGGCAGTTTCAATACCTCGAACCTGATCAAACATTTGAAATCGAAACATGTGAACGAACATAAAGAGTTCGAGACTACCAAGCCAAGCTGGGAAGGACCGCAGCAACAAACCCTGGTCAGTTCACTTCGTGGGAAAGAGCAGTGGGACGAGAAGAGTGAAGCAGCAAGACAGATGTCTGAGAAAATAACCGAGATGACTGTTCTCTGTAACCTGCCCCTCTCCTTCGTGGAAAGCGTGGGCTTCCGGC